CCCCAAAACTTCTATTTCTCTCGCCTTTCTTGTGCGTTCCACTGCTTTTGGTTCTTCTTTCTCTACGCAATTACTTTTGGGACAAGTGACAAGGTCGTGTTCCTGAAAAGCAAAATTTCATCACTTTCTCTCAATAAATAAATAACCAAGATCATCCCGCAGACAACAGGCTGCGTCGGACTAGAAAGAGGTATCATTCTATCCACTCTTGAGATCATAGGCACCCAATCATGGGTGCAAATCTCTGCTGTACAGATGCTTATCTAAATTACCTCTGAGATCTACTCAGTACCAGACCTCAGGACTGTGTTTGATGTCAATAGGATCCCTCAATATCGCCGTGTCTGGAAAATTGTATAATGCACCCACCACGCTCTAGAATCCCCCTAAGATCTACCCCCGCCTCGCGTGTTATTTATCCCTTTTCCGCGTTTATTTGAATCCACATAAACTATATCCAGGAAATAGGTTGTTCAGATTAATGTTATCACGGCGTGAATCCCAGCGCGTTCTTACACCCATCGAAGCTTACGGAGACTTATATGTCTGCAGACGAAACCGCAAAACTGGTTTTCTTTTGGCGGGATCAGATAGCATAGTCCAGCAGACCTTCAACTGTCAGGTCAATTGGTCATTATTTCGGGTTTGCATTGCATAGCCTAGTCATAATATCATCTCTTATGTAGCCGAGGCACCCCTGGTGCGTTGACCGCATGTATATCGCAAGATCCCCCTTCACAAAGGGTACCTGAATGAGCGAAGTTGGAAATCCGTCAGATCTGCGAATTCCTCATTCACGACATGTTCGCGAACAAGTTGCCCTGTAACTGGTAAGAAAAGAGCTCAATAATGGCGACGGGGAAGAAAAGGTACGAACTTTGGGCATCTAGAGCGTCTTGCTTGTCGCGCTTCTGATTCCAATGCCAATGTAGAATCCCCATGGAAGCCAACAGGATGGCTGTGCATACTAAGAATGCCAACATGGTGAATTTCGCCGTCTTCTCTTATATCAGACTAGGTAATCGCAATTGTTGGGGGAGAAACGAAAGCGTACATAATAGTGGGGTGCCTCGTCTGCACGAAAAGTTTGTGGGCCGCAAATGTTGCCAACCGCATATCCAAGCTGATAGGACGCACCAAACGCGAGCTTTTTGGTACTCCCACCGACGCCAGACGTAATGAAAGCGAGGACAACCAATATGGCATTTGGATCTAAGTATCGAAAGATTAATGAAGTGATCAAATAAGGGTTCAGCTGGTGTAGATATCTGTCAAGACGCACATTGCATTGTGAGGATGTAGCCTCCATAACGAGCTGCATTGGCATTTGCCGGTATGGTTAACATCATGATGACGCCAACGCAACCAAGAACTATTACAAAGATACCACCTATAGTTCTATTGGTACACTTTATAATGACAGTGACCAGAACCGTGCCAAGAGCCGCGCATGCGCCTGGGGCCATACTGAGAAGCGTGGTGGTATTATCGTCGAAGCCGAATCCCGAGATGATGGTTGGCCCTGCACAAGAGGTACAAGAAATTGTCTGTCAGTCAGGAACATCTTCTAGAGGTAATGAACATACCAAATGCTGTCAAGCCACCATTGGGAAGTCCAGTTGAAACCATCAGTAGAAAAATCAGATACAGCCGGGGATCGCAGAGGGCCTCCTTCAGCTGATCCCAGTTGAATGCCCACATCTCAGAGCCTGTCTTGTTAGCTCGGACTCTTTCGAGGGCAATTGCCTTCTCATTGTCGGATAGCCAGCTAGCGTCAACTGGCGATGCGGCAAGAAGGAAAAGAATTATGACACCCGTAACAAATGTGAGGCCGCCATAAAATATGAAAAGACCTTGCCATTTGAATCCAGTGGCATGGTTGATAGCCCAGGCAAAGAAACCTCCAAAAACCTGAGCCCAACCGGAAGTCGAATACCAGATCGCAACTCGGGTTACTTGTTCACTGTGAGTGTACCAGGAGCTAGTGACATAGAGGATAGCGGGCGTTGTGCATACTTCAATGGATCCCAGGAGAAAGCGAACCGCCGCCAACCCACCGAAATTGCGGCAAACAGCGTGCAAGGTGACCACAGTCCCCCAAAGCATGCTCATGACACCGAGGTACTTAGCCATTGGCACGCGCTGCATAAGAAATGCTGCCGGAATTTCGCCAAACAGATAACCGAAGCTATATGCGTAAATGAGATCATGGGTCAGTGACGGAAGAGACTTTCTGATAGCGGGTGCTCTACACACTATACGATAGATCCCAACCAGTCGTACTGGTTTCCAGTGAGGCGTGTGTCCTCTTTAATTCCCATCAATGCAGCGTATGACAAGCTATTCTTGTCCTGCGGTATGGAACATTAGGTACGACGTGGGAGGCGGTCGCAGATCTGTACTAACGAGTAGCTGGAGGGTGTAAAGGCCGAGTACCAGTGGCATTATTCGCATGTCAATCCTGCGAAGTACCTTCTTGGCTGCGGACGACGCAACATCGATTTCAATTCTTTGCTCCGCAAGAATTTTGAGGGCGTTTGACCGTCGAGCATCATCCAGCTTGATCTTGTGGTGAGCCAGGTCTGCAAAACCAATCGGACGATTGTATCCCTAAAGCAGTCAGGAACGTAATACTTGTTGTTTCAGTGTTCATCAAAGGTACTCACAACCCCAACTTCGACGTCTCCCATGCTAACTTCGGCTTTCTTGATGTCCGACATGTTGCGGAAGGAGTACATGGAGATTATCGTTCCACGTCCGACGGACGCTCCTGCACACTGTGATATAAATTCCGTAGTTTCTATTCAAACAAGAGGTGCGACCCGTTGTTTGTAACTGCAGCTAAGAAACAGCGGATATTGCACCGATATGGTGATAAGAGCATCGGATATACCCAGAGAAGTGCCGATACGATGTTTGACGGATGGGTACGTGGAGTATCCGTCGGATGTGGACAATCACGGCTATGTACCATTCGGTTATCAAATGGAGGCAGATGTACAGAATAGAGAGACACTTTTTATAACTCATAGAACCCCTTCAGAGTAATTGATCTCGCTCTGCCAAGTGCAAGCATTATTATATATACCCTCACTGAAGCATAGTACAACCCAGTCTGTCAACAAAGCCTTACCAGAATGGCCGAGCGCGTGGTACCTGTTATCTCTCTCGACGGTAAGTGGGAGAACGCTGCAGAGATTAAGGAATACTAACACCGGAGACTTTCTGGAATAGACTTCGAGAGAAGAAAAGATGAGATTACCCAACAACTGGTGCATGCTGCCGAAACAGCCGGATTCTTGACACTGGTTGACCACGGACTTTCCGTTGAAGAAATCGAGCGGCAATTTGCCATATCAAAGTCCTTTTTTGACTTGCCATCGGAAGTCAAGAGGAAGACTCCTCACAGTAACGTTACTAATAATGGGTGGGAATACAAGGCAAGCGACGCGTTCCTGCAAAGGGGCGATAGTGATATATACTGACTACACAAAGGCCCAGCGGCGCCCCAGCACTGGCTTGTATGACCAGAAGGAATCTCTCTGGCTCCAACATGGGTCTCACTGGCCAAGCGATGAGGATGTCCCAGGATTTCGGGATACTACTACTCACTTCATGGCGAAATGTGCGATAATCTCGGAACACTTATGTACGTGCCGCTTCAACAGTGCAACATGTTAGCCAAGTCTAATCAGTTCGGGTAGTTACCTGCTTTGCGACTGCACTGGGATTTCCATCCGATTACTTCTGTGTCGCAAACGATGTGACCAAGCCTGACTGTCTCACGCAGCTACGGCTGATCCATTATCCACCCACCGTAGATGCTGCTGGTACCTGGCGGGCTGGAAGTCATACCGACATCGGGTGTCTTACCCTACTATTCCAGCGAGATGGTGAAGACGGTTTGGAGATCTGTCCAGGCCGTGAATCGCATACGAGTTTCGCAATGGGTGACGTTTTCAGTCCTCTTCCTGCCAAAACCGGACAGATTGTTGTTAACATCGGTGACATGCTGAGTGAGTCAAGCGTATTGCGTTGGATCATTGGCGGGGTACGCGTTCTAACATAAAATGCCTCTACAGTGGCGTGGTCGGACGACCGCCTGAAATCAACCTTCCACCGAGTGCGAGCGATGGATGTAGGAGAATCGCCGTCACGTTACTCAATTGCATATTTTAATCAGGGAAGGCGTGATTATATTATGCAAGGCCCGCAAAAGAAATAGTAAGTTCAGACATCCTTATGTTGGGGTAGCTCGCTAATCCTGGACGTTTCTCAGCCCCCCGAAGAGTGTAGGGGAGTGGTTCAAGGAGTCAGTCGAGCGAAACTTTGCTTACCAGCAGAGTGTAACTGCAAACTGATAATTGTATGGCATCCGTGGCAGTTACTGCATTACGATGTTTTTCTAATAGCAGACGAGGCTCCTCTTGCCCACTCTACACTTCCCCACGTATATCAGAATGATCAAATGAAACGTTATACATCAGATTGTAAGCCCAGCGCATGGAATGGACTCCTAGGAAAATAAAGGAATATCCTTATAGTTGCTTTGGACGATGATGGCCTGGTCCGAGAGATACTCAGTGCATGCCTTCAAGGATGGCTTGATATCAAATTATTCCGAAATTCTTCGTCTACCTTGTCATTGTTTTGAGGGGCCTATGGGCAGTCTAGCATATAGATTGTCGCAAGTTCACAAAACGTCTATTCCTGCTTATTCTATTCCATCTTTATCTTTTCTGCTTCCTTGTTCAGTCTTACTATTCATAAGTACTTTTATTAATAATAAGCTAATTTCATTTATTTACTAATGTATATATCTTATTTACTTCTCTTTTTCTCAACATTTGAATTATGAAATTCGACTTCTGACCAATGTCCTTCCTTTTTACTTCATGTTGTTGAGTACTCAAAGGCGTCCAGAGCGTAGGCTTTCCTTATTCATGGTCCCATTTTCATCTGTCAAAGATTGTTAACAAACTTCACCCTTATTTGTTAGGCTAGCTATTCACAGAAAGCGTACGCTGAATTCTTTGGTTGACTTTTGCCACACAAGTTTGCATGAAGTCCAATAGTCTTTCCGCCTGTGCAGAATCTTCAGTTCCAATGGATAGGACGTTGCTGTTAAAGGCATTAGAACCGACAATGGAAGACTGGGGTCAGAAAAAAATCATAACTGACCTGACATGATTATGTCTGTCCTGTACATGGAACACTGGTAGCGATCCTGGAGGTTTACTCCGTTCACGATAGGCATTGAAAAAAGCCACAGTGGCATCAGCTGTTTCTTTTCTAGCAGTTTCAATTATTGTCAGGTCAGCTTTGCATACTGATGGGCTCTTCATTTAACATCTCCGTGACTTACACCTCCCACTTGACACTTCCGATGTAGACCGGCAAATGCTCAGAATCCCTACTCACATTGTCAGCGCAGAGTATTTGGGTGTAATATATTTAGTAAGAGGAAAGGTAGAATATGCTTACAACAATGGAGAGTCGTCTGGGAGATTTCTGAAGAGTCCTAGGGCAGAAACAGGCTGTAGTGCATTTTAGAATCTGATAAAATACCGAGTTCATTCGACTTACACCCCAGACCTCCTCAGCATCCGATCCATAATAGTGGCTAATGACCCTCTGTCGCACAGGCTTTCTCCGATCAAACCAGAATGGTACACTTAGGTAGATAACACCCGCGACAGGGGGGAAAAGTGGGTCTTTCGATACTCGCTTTGGATCCCCTATTTCTCCAGTCAGTAATGAATGATGGTGAGTGTTGTCAAGGAATTCATCACCTGCGGCGTAGAGGTTCATGGCGATATGTGCCCCACCGGACGAGTGACCCAAAAGGATGACCTTGTCCGGTGATCCTCTGCCGTACTTTTGCTTTGCAATATTTTCAAAGATCCATTCCCGAGCAAGCTGCATATCATCGGCCCCTCCAGGGTAGACAACGTGCGGGACGAGTCGATGGTTTGCGAGAACCGTGACGAATCCACGCTGCGCAAAGTAGAATCCCACATTCGCCCAGCACTTGTGTCGGTGAGTAAGCATTTGGATGGGTGTTTCAATTGTAGCATGCAAGTACCTTTTCACTCCATCCTTTGTCTCCAGAGAAAAAGCCCCCTCCGTGAACGAAGAGTACAACAGGATGTCCTCCCGGCTTTTCCTCGGCAGGAAAATAAACATCCAATCGGTTACGCTCGGCCGGTCCGTACTGCTCGTCCTTCACTATTCCGACATTGTCCGGTGCTTTGGGATATAAAGGTTCATACAGCTTTCTCCAGCCCTGTACCTCGTCAGCTTGAAGTTGAGGTTATCGTTATATCAGGCATGAAATCGTACTTCTTCATCTCCAAGATCGAACTTGGTGGTATCTTGTGCTATCTTGGCGAAAACTTTCTCCATGATTTCTGTCTTTGAACCTGGGACGTGGTTCTCATCAAGGCAGAACTAATATCTCTGAAATAGTAAGGCAGAAGGTGTATGCTGCAGGGGCAATATCCGTGCCCCACATACTGCTGCCGGCCCTTAGCCGAGATAAAGTATGACCCTTTTCCGGACTGGAGTAACCGTGATCAATGCACGGACATTCAATCAATCCAATAAGACCATCATTTTTCAGAGCTAATTAATTTCAGCTCTCAACTTCGTAGCGACAAAAAAGTTGGTCACCTAGATATACGAACATGTTGACCAGGTGAGTCAGAAGCTTTTGGATTCCGTGAACAGCTGCTAATACCCTCTAGAGCTGAAGTTAGCCAGCACAGGTCAAAAGACCGATGTTTGGTTATCATAAAAGGAAATGTTTACGACCTGAGCTCGTACTTGGACTCCCATCCTGGCGGGTCAAGCATCATCCTGAAGTATGCTGGGCGGGATGCAACAGAAGCATTCGAGCCCATCCACCCAAATAACGTGATTGAGAACCATCTATCGCAAGAGTATGAGGAATACTCTGATTCGACATTCATTTACTGCGCGACTGTACTGAGATGTGAATAGAGCCCATCTCGGCCCCGTTGCAGATTCTGATATGAATACCACACCCGCCTCGGCACAAATGAAGATGTCTTCCTCGGAAAGTAGTCTTCAGAAGAGCATCCCTTCACTCTTGAGATCCGTTGTCAACATTCACGACTTTGAACTTTCTGCCTCCCAAATATTACCTGCGCGCTCGTTTGCCTGTGAGTACCACCAGAGGAAGACAAAATGCTGTCTCCGTGGCTAATCAATGCATTTGGAGCGACGTGCAGTTTTCAAATCTGGCGCTGAAGATGAAGAAACTGTTCAATGGAACCAGAATAGCTGGAAACGTATCCGCTTTTGTCCACGAGTTTTAAGACCCATCCGGGCCATCGACTTAACGACATCCATTCTTGGAACGAAATACTCAGCGCCATTCTTCATCTGCCCTGCAGGAGGTGGTAAGCTTGCGCATCCGAGTGGAGACCTGGCTTTGACCAAAGCTGCTGGGAAACATGGCATTCTTCACTGGGTACCGAACAACACCGGTTGTTCGCAGGAACAGTTGGCAGATGCGCGTGCGGACACGCAGACATTGTACTGGCAGGTATATGCTCTGGAGGACCTTTCCGTGACGGAGAAGGAAATAAAACAAGCTATTTCGTTGGGTTACCGGGGGTTTGCTTTAACTGTTGATGCCAATCGAGTTGGCAAGCGAGAACGTGATGTGCGTTTAATCATCAGGGTATGCATATTATTCTCTCGCGGTTCTATTTCAAGGATTAACAATCTTTTTCCACAGGAACAGGAGCTTTCTGAGAATCACGAGTGTGAAGACAATGCGTTTGCCAGTGGTCCTACAGTTTCGCGGTCGTGCGTTCCCACCAAGTCCGGATATGATTGATGAGAAAATGACCTGACGAGATATAGCCACCTCTTCCCCGACTTTGACTGGATGTCCGCAGTTTCGTGGTTACGAAAGATAACGGATCTGCCAATTGCGATAAAGGGCATTCAATCCTGGGAAGATGCTGCACTATGCATGAAGTACGGAGTACACCCGTGGCTGTCGAATCACGGAGGACGACAGCTCGAGGGGGCTCCCTCTGCTGTGGATACCCTTCTTGCCATCCATGCACACTGCCCCGAAGTCCTTCGCCGTTGTGAAGTTATTGTCGATGGGGGTATCAGTCGCGGTTCTGATATTGTGAAAGCTCTTGCTTTAGGCGCAAAAGGCGTCGGACTGGGGCGAGCATTTCTTTACGCCTTGGCACTTGGCGAGCCAGGCGTCGACAAGGCAATCAGAATTCTGAAAAATGAAGTTGAGACGACCATGGCTTTGCTGGGAGTTGTCAGTGTTGACTCGCTGAATCCTTCTTATGTAAGTTGAGACAAATAAGAGTATTCTGTGTTCAAACTGCCATCATTCACTAACACAAAGACTTTGACTGGCAGATCAGCGCATTTAGCGATCAGGATAGGCTTCCCCGTGGCCGCTCTAATCTCTAGTGTGCATTTATCAGGCTACAGGCATCGCGTTTTCATCGGTGGGCAGAGTTCAGTTAGAGAGGACCACTTTAAGGCCCAAAAGCTTTGCTAGACATTCTTCAGACAAAAGTCTGTCTATTCGCCTAGTATTTCGAAACATAGTCTATGAGATCCCTCATTCTATAGCAGAAATTGATTGCAGTTAGAGGAAACCTGTCATCTGGTGTATTAGAAGCATATTCGATTCGTAAGCATAGTGAACACAGAACCCCAGACGCCCAGACTTAGAAATTATCTTTGAGCGGAGAGAATCAGTTCAACATCAAAGCACTATCTTTGTACCTGAAGCAGTATATTAGGTGGGAAGACCTGATTTCAGGATAAGTACGGGTTTGGGAAATCGTATCCTATTATGCGGCTGTTGTCTTCGTGCGGCTCCTATCCGTACTAGTCCCGATAATTTCTACTCCGTTCTTCACTATAACAATGACATTCTTGAACTCCAAGGCGGAAGCATTCTGTCCGTGGACATCCGGGCGCGTAGCCGAACAGCGACGGAAAACGTACCATTGCAATTAATTTCTACTCCGGTTCCGAATGAACAACCGATACGATGCCCGGAAAACCAGCTTTATGGGCTGATAGAAAGCAAACTGGCGACTGAATCTTCCGTATATGATATCAGGTATCGTGGCCCTCTGATAGCATTGCTTGATCACTTTATTTTGGCTCATGACAGCGACGTTCTCGACTTCCCACCTGCTTCAACAGTCGGAAGCTTCAATATAGCACCAATTTGTCCTGGAAAATACACAAACATGACCGGCCAAGCAATTGACTCTCCCCCCAGCCTCCCTGTGCCAAACCAACAAGTGCATGCACCGGGCGTCCACTTGCTACACCCCCTGTCACGCCTCGGCACTGGTCCTGGTATGATCATACTGACTTCAGGGAGAGACCTCGGAGGTGTGCGTCTAGACGATGGAGTCCCCTCACCGTTCCTCAAATGGGCTGAAGAAGGCTACGCGGTGGCGGCAGTATGCTTAGGTGCCTTGGAGGGTGAACAAGATGGCATATCCTCTGCCCTCGAAGCGTTGTCCAGTTGCGACAACTGCCAGCCCAAGGGGAAAGTTGGACTTATCGGTGAGTACAGTACTCTTACGTACTTGACCACTGCAGCTAACATCTCTGTTCCAGCATACGACCCCGATGCATGGCTGAAGGTCGCTGCATCAGCGCACGCTCACCAGGAGGTTGTCGGAGTGGTGGTATATGGGAATGTGGATTCGCCGATCCCCAAACCAGTCTTCCCAATGCTTCAGCACTTGGCCGGAGCGTCCGCGACAGCAAAATTGGTATCCAACACCGAGAATTGCCAGGCGTATGGATACGCAGCTGTCAGTACATATCAGTTTGCCATCCCTTTCCAGCCGGCGTTCGACTACACCGCCGAGTCTGTATCACACACACGGAACCTAAGCTTCCTGAAACCTCTAATGGGAGCTCCATATTTCGATTTGGAGGCTATCTGGGAAGAACATACGTATCATGAGTTTGAGACGCGCTCTGTACCTCATACGATGGCAACCATGGTGCAAGAGCCGTATGTGAATCATATTCCCACAGTAAGATCTAAAGTGCCGAATACTTATTAACATTAAACTGAGCTGAACGACTTGCAGTTAACGGGAGGAATTGGAAGGAATCGCCTTTCATACTTCTACCAGAACCACTTTGTTTTCAATAACCCCGAAGACGCGGAACTTGAGCTCATCAGTCGGACGGTGGGTATTGATCGTGTCATTGATGAATTTATATACAAGTTCACGCACAACACCCAGATTGACTGGCTGTAAGGACTTATTCCATCTTATCATTATTTCGCGACCCAACTGCTTGCTCTACCCGAACTAATCTGTTGCAGGCTTCCTGGTATCCCACCCACCGGTCGCAAATTAGAAATACCATTTACCGCAGTTGTCAACATAAGGGGTGACCGGCTGTACCACGAGCACATCGCGTGGGATCAACTCACTGCTCTGATTCAGTTAGGACTTATGCCAGAATATCTTCCTTGGACACACCCCGCGCCTACGGGTGTGCATATGGGCACCAAGACGAAGCTTGAGTATCGAGTACCAGGAGCTGGGCGAGACACAGCCAAGAAGATGAGAGATAGGCATTCTGTGGAATCAAATAGAATGTTTGGGCACTCAATTCGGGAAGTGGACTCGGTTCAACCGACGCTGTCCCCCAAACTTGCTTGACGGAAGTGTTCTGACCGCAAAAGGGAACGGGAAAGGGGCGGACAACGGGCGGGAAATACCCGGCCGCCCGGCTAAGGGATGGTATGGGTCGTATCTTTCACCACCCGGTACCTTCATTGACAACTCTTTTTTTTTAATATTTTTTTTCCCTCCCAGAGAAATGAACCGGAAAAGAATAGAGTAATTGATGTAGTGGGTGTCCTTCTCATAGGGCACACCATACCTGCCGATTGTCCTCGTAATCAGGTCACGAGATCTTTAATTCCTCCACTATGAGGGCTGAAGCACCGCATACAAGCAAAAGAGCATACATAAAGCACAAATAAGACTCGGGGACGTCATTTTCGCCTTCGAATTTTCGCTATCTAACCGTTTATTGCATCTCAGACTTATCACAGCAACGCCCAGCCTCTAGTGCGGGGTAGGATCTGTGCTCAGAATGATTGGAAAAAGACAAATAAACATTGGAGAGCTTAGACCCAGTTCCGAGTATCTTCCCTGGAGGCCTCCCACTTCCCTGGTCAAAATTCCCTACCTTTTCACAACTGGCAAACCCTACAATACGTTTTCCCGGTCATGCCACGTCCGAAAGTGCGCCCGGAAGATCGACGACGGTCCAGCCACGCTTGTCAGACCTGCAAGACCCTGAAAATCCGGTGCGACTCACAACGTCCATGTTCCTCATGTATGCGACGGGGACAAGCTCATACATGTGCTTATTCTGGGATGGACCGTCGCAAACGGAGGACGGGTGATGCCGTACAGAATACACACAGCCGGGTCACTGACAGGCAGGATAGCTTTTTACAGAGCAATAGGGTTACCGCCGCTGAGAATGAGAATACACCATTCGAGTTTGACACTCTAGTATCCGTGATGGTCACACCCGAGTCACGGAGTGATGATACTCGCCCCCCTGAAACCTCTTTGCGTGAGCGGTTATCTTCTGCACCGGAACAGTCAACAAAAGGTGTGG